TTGCAGGAATATACCGTTGTATCATCTGCATAGTTATTTGCGGCGTATAGTCTTAAGTATAGGAAGTTGTGGAGATCCATGATCGCTTACGCCTTCAAGGCTCATGGTGCATAGAAGAAGATATATATATATATATCTTAAACAACGAACAGTGAAAGTTGACTCCATCTGTTCTTTCTCTCATTTGGATATATATACATATATATATATATATATATATATATATATATATATATATATATATATATATATATATGTGTGTGTGTGTGTGTGTGTGTATTTCTCTCATTTGAATATATATATTCAAATGAAAAAAAGATACACACACATATATATATATGTGTGTGTGTGTGTATCTTTCTCTCATTTGAAATATATATATATATATATATATATATATATATATATATATATATATATATATATATATATATATATATACACGCTTGTGCGGATTAATAGGTATGAAGTACAAAGCTTGTCCGTTTGCGAAATCTATCTGCATTTTTGAATTTGAATTCTAAATTTCACCAGTACAATGCTCGAGAGCCACTCAAAGTAGAGAATAGATGACGAAAAAGGTGGCACAGAAAGAAGAAGGAAAATTGAAATAGAGAAATATGTCTTCCAAAAACTAAACACAGTATTAAGAGATGGAAATTTAGGAATAGAGGAAACATTTCTGTGTAATAGAATCCTTCTATATAAGAGAGAATACTGGAGAAGTTATTTGCAGATGAAGTGGAAAATGCTTATAATGTATGAGGTGTGGGATATAAATAATAGAGGAGATAGCAGTCAATAGTCTATCAGTATCTATTCTCCTATAGATACTGATAGACTATTGACTAGAAGAGGTTAAGATTATAATGTTCAGGGAAGCATCCACTCAGGAGTCTGTTCCAAAAGTAGCAGTTCTTGGATGTAAGATAAACTTTCTTCTTACGTTTCGAATACGGAAGAAATGAGGATGATTCAACTATGTGAATGTAACACGGCGGTAACGACCTGTAAAAATTTACTGGTGGAGCAAAAGAAACGCGCGCATCTGAATATATGCCATGGAAACGGCGCTAGTGAGAGGTATGCGGGAAGGAAGCTGCAGGCTGGAGAATTCCTCTTCCAGCCTTACATGATCAAGATTTTCGATCAAGGATGGGAAGTGATGATTGATAAGTTCCAGCCCATATATAGCAGAAATACACATTTTTTTCGTTTTGTAAAGAGGTAAAATGGCAGAAGGCATTTCGTATTTTCTGCCGCGATAGAATGAATATTTAGCGACAGATTGTATATATGAATACAACTTGAGATCTAGATTTAACTGAAAACTCAGGAGATGTTCAATGCATGAGGCCTCATTAAACGGGCAAATGTTCATCTTAATTGGCGTAAACTCTGACTCTGATCGGTAAAGATGAAATGATACCGGCGTGTTTTTTTAGATATTGATAGTCATAAGCTTGCTTCTTTTTTTATTGACCTGTTAGACCTCGGGTAGTGGAGAGATCAGCTGTAAAGGTCAGATCATCCTGATTTTTGGAAAGTATACCCATTGTATTCTATTATAACTTTATTTTAGGGAAAACTAACAAAGTGGGAAAAGATTTATTGTGATATGTTTCGTCCTTTAGGACTTCATCAGTCTAAATTGTATAGTTACGTTGAAGCGACTACGCATGCGCATGAAAGGATAGGGGAAGCTAGAATTTTAAATTTAACTTTTCTTTGTAAATATATGTTTTGGGCATATAGTCTAGCCGATTTTATTTAGTTAACTTTTCCTTTTATGCTGTTTTCATTAAATGGAATGCCATTATTAAGGCGAAAATATATTGAAATCGTCTGCGGAAGATTTACGCTTACAATCGTACAATCCATCCTCATATTACTTCTACTGATGCAATGTGGGATAATTCGAAAGAACAGCAATAAAAATAGAAATATATGCAAAAGGAATAAAAAAATTGACTGACATAGATAAATATCTTGATGCATCGGACCTAGAATTCTATTTAAAGATTCTATGTATCTTTGTTTCTACGTTTCGATGTAAACTGTAACCGACATTTGTTAAAGACTCTTGACACTTAAAAAATATTACAAAGCAAATAAACAGAGAAATTGTTGCAAAATGAGGAGCAGATATTAAGGTTTTTTTTAAAACTAATTTAATACGCCTCTGTATGGGTAGCATTAGTTTCACGAGGCACATAATGACGGTACTCGATTTCTTTGTATGTTCGCTGTAACATTACTACCATCGATGATTGTAGAGATCTGTGATGACTCGTACCTTTGTTCAATACACGTTATCTTTAACATAACCCCATAGAAAGAAGTCCAGGGAAATGATATCCTGTGAACGAGGTGGGCAGGGAATTGGGCCATCTCTTCCAATCCATCGGTTTGGAAATGTTGGCTTTAGGAACCTAAGAACATGCAGTCTTTAACGTGATGGTGCTCCATCTTACTCGAAGATGATGGTTGGTTGAAGGTCATCTAGTTGTGGTATCACATTAATTGCCTTTGTAACATATTTTTTTATACTGTAAAGAGACTTTATGGACAGCCTATAATTCTCACTCAGGCATCCACATCTTTTATATAATAGACTAATTCCATCAATAAAAAAATTGTCTGAAGAGATTCTTTCTCGGAATGAAACAGATCCTTATAATTTTCTTCCATCTTCTCGTTCATTTGCCAAATATAAGATGTAGAAATCAAGATGTTTATATTAATGACCTTAATGCCATTTTAACTCTGGGTTCTTTAGTAATTTGTCAGAAAGTTACTAAAATTAAAAAGTTAAATGCAGTTCTGGGTTGTACTAGAGTTAAAAAGTGACATATGTCTGATCTAACATTAAAGTCCAGAGATATTCCTTTAGGTTCAATTTACTTCTATTTCTCTTGAATATATATATATATAGGCACGGTGGAGTAATGGATAGCGTCTTGCATTGAGGAATCCAAATCCATTACATTCAATTTCGTGCTAATACTCTTGGGAAAGGTGTGAATCCTCTTCTCCCTCCAGCTATGGGTAAATAGCCGGACAGACTGGGTTCTATAGCATTGGATGGCAACTGGTCTAGGAGAAGGAACACTCTGAATTCAAAATCTGCGGAGGGTCGTTTGGGGACATTGTGTCACTTAGTGCACCAGGTCTCTGAATTCGGCCCTTCAAAAAGTGTGGATGGTCTTACAAGAAACCTTCACCACTATAATCAAATCTCATGTGCCGTTGTCGGGCTGTCGGTTTCCTGGGAACTGATATGCTTGACACCCATACGTCGAATTCGACGGAGAGTCAGTATATATATATATATATATATATATATATATATATATATATATATATATATATAATATATATACTGGGTTGGATGGGTAAATTGTCGCCATTTTCTACGTTCTATTTCGCGAATTCGCGCTGTTTGTTTTTGATTTTATCGTCTGCACAATATAGTAGGGTCAGCTGGGCACCGTCTGTGAGAAAAAGAGCACTATTCCCTCCGCCAGAAATTTGGAAACGACATGCTGTATTGCATGGTATTTACGCCGGAAGCTCTAAAATGAACATTTCAGAGCAGTTTAGGTGCCAGTGCAGAGGTTTCGGAAAGAGTTAAATGAGTCTAATTGTGCTTACGATGGTGTGTAGAGTGATCGCAACAGTAAGTCTCCATTCATCATCCCACAGGGTTTCAGACCCAACACGGAGGTCTACATCAAGTGACTTGAGTAAGTAGTGTTGCCTTGGGTTACGAAGGTGGTTGCTGGAATACCATATGTCTGGCAACAAGATTCTGCACCATGCAACACAAACAGGAGTACCTAGTCATGACTGTCAGGTGAAAGGTAAACGATATAAAACAAAAATGACCTTTACAATCACATGAACATGTTCGGGTAGTAAAGTTTGGACCATCTGAATCTTGTATGAAAACATTTTTAAATCCAGTTTCAGAATCTTCTGAAGAGATGTTCTGGAGATGTTGAGCAGAGCGACGACGGATAGAAGCTAATGGATCATCAAGGACACACTACCGTACAGCGTCCACCACTGCGTCAGTGCGCACAGTGCATTTAGGACCTCTTCCCCGAAGATCGCCGGCTGATCCAGTTCTTTCAAACCGGGAGATTAGCTTCCGAATAATGTTATCGTTAGAAGATACTCTTATATTAAAATTTTGCTTGTATTTTCTCGGCGTTTTGTTAATTGATCTTTCACTGGAGTAGAAAAACACAATGAGTTTTACTCATTACTAGACATTATACGTAACCATTTTAATCTCAAAAGGATGTACTACAACCGGCAAAAAAAAAATAAATAAATATATAAAAATAAAAAATGATTGAAAACGAACAAGTTATGACTTTTTCAAATCCTTCGGTTTTTCAGTGGCCACCCTATATAAAGATAGATTATTAGCAATTTATTTAAATGTTCTTTTTTCTATCCAAAGATGGAGAATGTGTTTGAATAAGTGACACGTGTCTTCGAAATAATGTGGTTTCAGTTTGTTAGTTGTGCTACGTCTTAGGAAAATTCTTGTGATTTAAAACTAGTTTTTAATCAAGCATGTCCTTTTTGATAACGTAAACATTATTTCAAATAAAGAAGTTGGCAATCTCTTCAATCATTTTCTTCATTTTGGGATTTGTTGGGACTGATAATTGCTCTAACGAGTCAAAATATTTTCACCTAAAGAGGAAATCATCACTCCCTTAACGCTGTCATATAGAAACATTAAAAATGGTGAGAAATTTGCAAGATAATAAAATAAATATGTAACAGAAGAGTGAGTTTGCAAGCTTCGATAAATTCAATAGAGGATTTTCGGCAGAGAAATGGACATTATAATGACCTTTTCCGTGAAGAGACTAAAGAAATACGTTTAAGAGTTTCCTTCCCCCGGGGGCCATAGTTATCTGTAAGCTTATTTTATTCTTTTAACATCAGATAATAGCAATACAAACAAAATAGACATAAGCTTGCTTATCTATCTATCTATCTATCTATCTATCTATCTATCTATCTATCTATCTATCTATCTAATGATAATCGAAGATCAGCGTCTTTGTACAATATCGAGTCGGTTGCTAGCTTTTGACAGTTATTTAGAGACACGACTGAAACCAGATTCAACAAAATAAGACAGAAGAAAAGCAGTAACACGCAACAAGGACTATTTTTTAGCAGTCTCATTACATTTTGAAAACACGATGCTTCCCATCATTAAATATTACTTGAAATATTTAAGCACTCTGAAATTCAATGAGATTCTCCTGCAATCAGATATCTACCTCAGCAACATTAACTTCAAAAGGAAGTGTCACTCAACGTTGTTTATTTAGCTTGAGTTGGTCGATAAACGTGGCTTGTATATACGGTGCATATTTTTGAAATGTTCTGCATACAATGCAAGGTCATCCTCTTAGAAATTCGAGGAATATTAGAGTAGGTTATTTCCCTTGGATGTAAAAGTTCAATTTCATTCAATTCATTATAACCGCTATGTTGAACTTAGTTTTTCTTGCAATAAATACGTCAAAAGTGATTTTTTTCATTGAACATTAATATATTATCATGGATGCTCAGTTTACTATTTTGTTTCATGCACCCCTAACATAACTTATATATATATAGTTTATGAAAAACTAGGTAATCCGTATGGGTACACCTAAGGAGGATAAAATCCAGAGAGCTCAATGTAAATCTAGAGCAAATAATTTAAATAAAAAACAGGCCACTTTAAGGTTCCATGTAATAAATTATTTCACCACAGCCCTTTTAAAAGGACTGCGGATCATCAGACTTTACTTCCAAACAAAAAATGAAAAGAAAATTTACACATTTTTGACGGGCCGTATTAAACATATGTAAATTAACGAAGTGTGGAAGTGAGGGGGGAGAGAGAGAAGACATGAGTGAGTTAGCAGACATTGACACATTTAAACGGTTAACTTAACGGAAGTTATATATTGATATCGAAGGGGTAGAGAAGAAAAAACCCATAGAGAGAAAAAGAGAGAAGGAAGTTAAGAGAGAGGAGAAGAGAAGATGTCACTAATTTTCTTTGTAAAAAAAGGCTAGAAACAGAGGCTGTTATTTTGCTTTACTTTGAAAGTGTTATTTTGGGGGTTCATAAAGATTATAATGTTTGATATAAATTTGAATGTCTCTCTCTCTCTATATATGTATATACACACACACATATATATATATATATACACATATATACATATACATACATACATACACACACACATATATATATATATATATATATATATATATATATATATATATATATATATATATATATATATATACACATACATATATATATGTTTATGTTTTTATATGAATATTCACACTGTACAAGGCACAAGAAGAATTCGTGAGTCATAGGGTAAGAGGCACAGATCATGGGGATAAGTGTGAAGATAACAGTTAACACTTAACTTGAACAGATTGTAGTAATCAGGGAAGTATTTTCTTGGGAGTCGGTTTCATAAAGTTGCGGTTCGCTGGAAAGAAATTATCTCCTCCAGTAGAATTTTCATCTCACCAATGGAATACAAAGGCATCAATGTACGTGTCATGGCGGATCTTAGCCGTGATCTTTAGAACTGGTGGAATTAATAAATGCAGTTCATCTGTACACTTAAATGTAAATAGCGTTAGAGTAGCGAAAGGCTTGCTCCGTTTTGTCGGAAAGGTGTTATATGAATTTCCAGGGCCCATATGGAAACTATTTGAAAATTACTTATTTCAGAGCAACACACAAAAAAGATTACTCTGCGACATACATACTCGTGACTATCACAAGTATTTTCCCTTTTTTTTTATACAATTTCCAAAAGTTTATTTAATGCTCTCCAAAAAGTATCTTTCGATGATTCTGGGTCATTGGCTAGCCCCTTTCAATTCTGCTTTCCATTTTAAACGGCATCTGTAGGGGTAGAGTTAAAATACCCTTAAAACTTTTCAACGTACGATCAGATATTGTTCAATTTCCTTTTACTTCAGAAATTCTGTAACCAGCCACAATAGAATTGATGCCTTGTTTAATATAATTGCCCGAATCGAATATCTGCCATTATAACATCTGCCATTATAACATCTGAAACATGGACTGATTGATTTTTAAAGTCCTATCAATCTTTTGTGGGTTATTTAAAGCCGAAACATATTTTGTAAGAATATTCTTTAAGAGTGAATATTGCATTAACGAATTTTTTGAGAGACAAAAATCTTTTTTTTCCGGATACAATCAGTCAGTTACGTGCCATGCATGATACACGATTAGGCGATCATATATCTTTCGATACATGACTAGTGAGGGAGATTTTCACCCGCAGTAGGTTGCCATTTCTTCCTGCAGTAGACCAGTTGCCATCCAGATCTATAGAATTCGGTCTATCCTGCTATTTACCCATATCTGGGGGGGGAGAACGGGGATTCGTACATTTTCGAGGGTATTAGCACGTAAGTGAATGTAATGGATTTGACTGGAATTCGAACTGACTGTCCGATTTCTTAATCCGAGCCGTTTTCCATTAGTCCACCGTATCTCCTCAGATACAATAGTACTATTTAATCCATGGACAGGGGAGAAGAAATGAATTAAGATCTTCCCCAATTGTATTTACGCGTAAGTGAATGTAATGAACTCAATTTGTATTCGAACTCGGACCTTGGATTTCTCATTCAAGGCCGGTATCCATTATTGGTATCCACAACATTTGAAACACAAGGCACAGTTTGATAACAACAACAACAACAATAATAATAATCAGTGAGTTGAAGCGTATCTTCAATACTATAAAATGTTTCAGTGATAAAATCGGTGTGGATTTCGGATTGGATAAATGTCAAAAGTAACATTCAAGAAAAGGAGAATTGCAGAAACATACTCAATAGATCTATATTATTTCAAAAGAATCAAGAAACTCTAACGAGAACAAGCCGAAAATACCCGGGAGTGAGCGAAGGAGATGGAATATAGCAGACCCAAGTGAAAGAGAAAGTAAGAAAAGAATACTACAGGTGTGTGTGTCTGATGTTAAAATGGGGAGTTGAATTCACAAAACAGAATATCAGCCATAAACACCTTGGCTGTCTCTGTGGTTCAATACAGTTTCCACATCCTCAATGAGACGATAGCCGACATTAAGCGAATGGATGTCAAAACGAGGAAGCTTCTCACTTGTCACCGCATGTATCATCCTAAGGCTGATGTTCATCGCCTCTTATGTGCCCAGATCCGAAGGAGGCAGAGGATTAGTTCAACTAGAACTGTCTTACAAAGCGATAACAATTGCTTTTCAAATATACCTGGAAACTATAGAAGACTGCATGATGATCTGTGCCAAATAACATGAAAGAAATAATAAACTTTATTCAATAATAAAGGAAGCCAACAAATTCATAAGGGAATTTCAAGTGGGTGAAGATGTGAAAATAAACCATAGTACACTTATTGCAGTGGCAAAATACCTAAAAAGGAAAATACAATTTATAAAATGCGAAAATAGTGACAATATAAGCCTCTTCAAGGTCAATACTCTCCCCGTACCAAATAAGCTGATGTAAACAAACCCTTTACCTATCTGTGGTTACGTAGTACAGGGTTAATTTAACAAGCACACATAGTGTAAAACTGTGCTGACCCCAAATGGAGATTTTGTGATAAATATCCAAAAACAAATGTTCATCTTGTATTTAACACTCAAGGAATATAAAACTCTGCATGATAGATTGGATCAATATCGGCACTGGAATATATGCACCTTTTACAGGAAGTAAAAAGTAAGAAACAGTTATGAACCTGGTTATAGAAATAGGACTTGTATCAATTTTATAGGACTTTAAATTACACATAGAGAAAACAATCAAAGCTTATCACCAAGACATCGTGATAAAAGACGACCACAAAACGAGAAAGCGCTTTCTTATTGACATAGTGTCTACAGATTATAATTTATCTTTGAACATCTTCAAAAAACTAAATGGAAATCAAAATAATGTGGCACGTGAGGACATCAATAAATCCATTTGTAGTTGGAATCCTCAGATTGATTGGAAAAAGTTCCGATAATCTCATTTAAAGGATTACTGGTAGCCGATGCTTTAAAAAAAATACAAAAAAATGTACTCACAAATTCAGCTCACATATTGTGAAGAACTTTATCTCTGTAAAATGTGTGTGATCTTAGTTTTTTTTTCTTACAAAGCATGATCAATGGAAAATGTCATTTCTGACCTTAGGTCTTTGCTTTGGACACGGAAGGAAACGTGTATACAACAGAAATCCAACGAAATAATAATAATAATAATAATAATAAAAACTGACATCGAATTATACTATTTAATGCACTAAAAAGAAGAGAATATCGAAATACCAAAAGTTAGAAACTGTACTTAATGTAATCTTAGCACTAGGAAAAGTGGAACAGAATGTTACCTCTTGGTTGAGAACTTTAGATTAAATAGTATGCTGTCAGAAGAATCTGTTTGCTTGGCACAGCACGATAAATCAGTAAAAGTTCTGGATACCTAATTCTGTTGTATGTAGCTTGACATCCACTAAATATTAAACCAGGTAATACCACTCAAAATGCCGTGCAAAAAAGTAAGCAAGTAAGTACGTAATAATAACAATAATAACAATAATAACAACAATAATAATAATAATAATAATAATAGTGGTAGTGTCATAGACATTCTTTAGAGGTATACTTGAAGTAAGGATTGAAGGGAAAAAATGTAAAAACGGAAATAATTTTTTCTACATATATATTACAATGTCTGTCGGGGATCAATGTTACCTGATATCCACTAAATATAAATCAAGCTAATAACGTTCAAAAGCCTTGCAAAAAGACAAATATTAATAATAATAATAATAATAATAAAGATCACAAACAAAAAAAGCGCCTCCTTATTTATATGGCAGTCCCTGCTGACTGCAATGTATCTTTGAAGATATTGAAAAAGCTGTCAAAATACAAGGACGTTGAAATAGAAATCTCGAAAATGTGGCATATGGGAACATCAACAATCCCTTTTGTAGTTGGAGCCCTAGG